GTAGTAGTAGTAAGTAGCAGCAGTAGTAGTCGTAGTCGTAGTCGTAGCCGTAGTCGTAGTCGTAGTCGTGGTCGTAATAGTAGTAGTAGTAGTAGTAGTAGTAGTAGTAGTAGTAGTAGTAGTAGTAGTAGTAGTAATCGTAGTCGTAGTAGTAGTGGTAGTAGTAGTAGTAGTAGTCGTAGTAATAGCTGTAGTTTTTTTGTAGCAGTTGTAGCAGTGGTCTTGGTACTAGTAGTATTCGTAGTCGTAGTAGTAGTAGTAGTAGTAGTAGTAGTAGCAGTCGTAGTAGTAGTAGTAGTAGTAGTAGTAGTAGTAGTAATAGTAGTAATCGTACTAGTAGTAGTAGTAGTAGCAGCAGTAGTCGTAGTAGTAGCCGTAGTCGTAGAAGTCATAGTGGTATCTGTCGTAAGAGTAGAAGTAGACGTCGTAGTAGTAGTAGTAGTAGTAGTAGTAGTAGTAGTAGTAGTAGTATCAGTAGTAGTAGTAGTAGTAGTGGTCGTAGTCGTATTATTAGTAGTCGTTGTAATGTGGTGGTAGTTTGAGTACAACTAGACGTGGTTGCAGTAGTAGTAGTAGTAGTAGTAGTAGTAGTAGTAGTAGTATTCGTAGTCGTAGTCGTAGCAGGAGTAGTAGTAGTAGTAGTAGTAGTAGCAGTAGTAGTCGTAGTCGTAGTAGTAGTAGTAGTAGTAGTAGTAGTAGTAGTAGTAGTAGTTGTAGTAGTAGTAGTAGTAGTAGTAGTAGTAGTAGTAGTAGTAGTAGTAGTAGTAGTAGTAGAAGTAGTATTAGTCGGTCGGCCGTAGTAGTAGTACTAGTAGTAATACAAGCAATAGCAGTAGTTGCAGTAGTCGTAGTAGCAGTCTCAGTAGTAGTAGTCGGAGTAGTAGTTCTAGTAGTCGTAGCAATCGTAGTCGTAGTAGTAGCCGTTGTCGTAGTCGTAGTAGTAGCAGTGGTAGCAGTAGTAGCAGCCGTAGCAGTAGTAGTAGTAGTTGTAGTAGTAGTAGTAGTAGTAGTAGTAGCAGTAGTAGTAGTAGTAGTAGTAGTAGTTAGTCGTAGTAGTTGTTAGTAGTTGTAGTCGTTTCGTGTAGTTAGTCGTAGTAGTTAGTCGTGTAGTCGTTGTAGTAAGAGTAGTTGTAAGTAGTACGTAATAAAGTAGTGAGTAGTTTAGTAGTAGTAGTAGTAGTAGTAGTAGTGGAGTTGTAGTAGTAGTAATAGTAGTAGTAGTAGTAGTAGTAGTAGTAGTAGTAGTAGTAGTAGTAGTAGTAGTAGTAGTAGTAGTAGTAGTAGTCGTAGTTTTTAGTCGTAGTAGTATTATTATTATTAATATGTATTATTATTATTAGTAGTAGTAGTAGTAGTATTAATGATCATAGTAGTCCTACATGTATGTGTAGTAGACGTGGTGGTAGCTGTAGCAGTAGGAGCAGTAGTAGTAGTAGTAGTAGTAGTAGTAGTAGTCGTAGTAGTAGTCGTAGTAGTAGTAGTAGTAGTAGTAGTCGTCGTAGTAGTCGTAGTAGTCGTAGTAGTCGTAGTAGTCGTAGTAGTCGTAGTAGTCGTAGTAGTAGTAGTAGTAGTAGTAGTAGTAGTAGTAGTAGTCGTAGTCATAGTCGTAGTCGGAGTAATAGGAGTAGGAGTAGTAGTAGTAGTAGTTCGTTAGTAGTAGTAGTAGTATAAGTAGTAGTAGTAGTGTGTAGTAGTGTCGTAGTAGTAGTAGTAGTAGTTTAGTAGTAGTAATAGTAGTAGTTCGTAAGTAGTCGTAGTGTCGTAGTTAGTAGTAGTAGTCTGTAGTAGTTAGTGTAGTAGTTAGCAGTAGTGTTAGTTGGAGTAGTAGTAGTTGTAGTAGTCGTAGTCGAAACCAATTGCACTAGCCAGCCCAACCAGCCAGCCCAACCAACCAGCCACCCAAACAACTCAACCAGCTCAACCAGCCCAACCAGCCACCCCGCAACCCCAGCCAACCCGCCACCCCGCCAACCCGCCTCCCCCCGCCGCCTGCCCTCCGTCACCGTCGAGAGGGGGGGGAAGTGTTTCTTACAAGCGAAAACCACAAAAATCACCCTCCCGGGGTCCGGCGGGTCAGCGGGGGAGGGGAAATCGCACCGTATTATGCGGGAGGGGGATTCGCGCCCGAGGTGCCCGGGGACGATTTGGGGCCTCAAGTGCGACACTGTCGTCATTTTATTACCTTCGCCGCGCTCGCCTTCTCAACGGAAAAGGCTCCCATCCGTGAAACTATCGTCATTTTTCAGCTCCCGCGAGAGGCTTCTTGGAGGCCCCCAGAGGCTCCAGGGGGGCCCATGGCGGCCTCGGGAGTGCCTAGGAGATCTCTGGAGGGCCCCAGGAGGACCCACTCTGCACCGCGCCCCCCTTCTCAACGGAAAGGCCCCCATGCGTGAAATTGTTTTCATCATTCCGCCCCCACGAGAGGGTTCTGAGAGGGCCCACGGAGGCTCCAGGAGGGCCCATGGCGGCCTCGTCAGGGCCCACGAAATCTCAAGAGCCCCCCGGATGACCCATTTTGAATTACACTCAGGGAGCTCCAGAAGGCCCAGGAGGCTCCAAGAGGCCCCAAGAGGCCCCGAAGAGCCCAAAGAGGCCACACGACCCCCAGCACGCTCTAGGAGAGCCAAGGCGACACCAAGAGGCTCCAGGACGGGCGTCATTCCCTCTCCTCCTCCTGCTCGTCGTCGTCATCCTTTTCCTCATCCGCCCTGCTTTTAATTCTTCCTCACCCTCTTCCTCCTCCTTCTCCTCCTCTTTCTCCTCCTCCTCCGCCTCCTCTTCCTCCTCCTCCGCCTCTTCCTCCTCCTCCTCCTCCTCCTACTTCATCCGTAGCCTCGATGGCTCCGATAGCGCCGTGCGCGAGTTCCGCCTCCTCCCCATCCGTCCTCCTCCCTCCTCCCTCCTCCTTCCCTCCTCCCTTCTCCCTCCTCCCCTCTCTCGGGATCGTCGCAAAGAGGCCCTCCGAGGAGAATTTCACGACAACAAGGGCGCCGACACGATGAACAGACACCACGTCGGGGCTCTGGGAAAGGAGTCGACGACGAAACTTCTAATAACGTAATCGTTCATCTTCGGGGCATTTTTCTGACCACCTGCGAGCCTGGCGCAAACACACGAGTGGAGGAGTAGACACCACGACGCTCAACGGAGTAAGCTGCATCAGTTGGTTTCTACCCCCGTGAGGGGCGTTACAGGTAGTAGTAGTAGTAGTAGTAGTAGTAGTAGTAGTAGTAGTAGTAGTAGTAGTAGTAGTAGTAGGAGTAGTAGTAGTAGTAATAGTAGTAGTAGTAGTAGTAGTAGTAGCAGCAGCAGCAGCAGTAGTAGTAGTAGTAGTAGTAGTAGTAGTAGTAATAGTAATATACGTAGTCGTGGTCGCAATGGTAGTAGCAGTAGCAGTAGTAGTTGCAGTAGTCGTAATCGCAGTAATTGCCGTTGTCGCATTGCTCGTTGTAGGGTGGGTAATAGCAGTCGCAGTAGTAGTAGTACTCGTAAATAGCCGTAGTCGCAGTCGTAGTCATAGTCTAGTCGTAATAACAGCAGTCGTGATAGTATGGATAGTAGTAGTCGTACTAGTAGTACTTCGTAGTAGTAGTAGTCGCCGCCGTAGGCGTAGCAGTTAAAGTTGCAGTGGTAGCAGCAGCAGCAGCAGTAGTCCCAGCAGTAGTAGTAGTAGTAGCAGGAAAAGTAGTAATAGTCGTCGCAGTGGTAGATGTAGTAATCGTAGTACGAGTAGTAGTAGTAGTAGCAGTAGTAGTCGTAGTCGTAGTAGTAGTAGTAGTAGTAGTAGTAGTAGTAGTAGTAGTAGTAGTAGTAGTCGTCGAAACCAGTTGCCCTAGCCAGCCCAACCAGCCAGCCCAACCAACCAGCCACCCACCCAACCAACCAACCGGCTCGACCAGCCCAACCAGCCACCCCGCAACCCCAGCCAACCCGCCATCCCGCCAACCCGCCCACCCCCGCCGCCTGCCCTCCGTCAACGTCGAGTGGGGGGGGGAAGTGTTTCTTACAAGCGAAAACCACAAAAATCACCCTCCTGGGGTCCGGCGGGACAGCGGGGGGAGGGGAAATCGCACCGTACTTTGCGGGAGGGGGATTCGCGCCCGAGGTGCCCAAAGACGATTTGGGGCCTCAAGTGCGACACTGTCGTCATTTTATTACCTTTCACCGCGCTCCCCTTCTCAACGGAAAGGCTCCCATCCGTGCAACTGTCGTCATTTTTCAGCCCCCGCGAGAGGCTTCTTAGAGGCCCCCAGAGGCTCCAGGAGGGCCCATGGCGGCCTCGGGAGTGCCTAGGAGATTTTCGGAGGGCCCCAGGAGGATCCACCCTGCACCGCGCCCCCCTTCTCAACGGAAAGGCCCCCATGCGTGATGTTGTTTTCATCATTCCGCCCTTGCGAGAGACTTCTTAGAGGGCCCACGGGGGCTCCAGGAGGGTCCATGGCGGCCCCGGGAGAGCCCACGAGATCTCAAGAGCCCCCAGGAGGACCCACTTTGAATTACATTCAGAGAGCTCCAGAGGGCCCAGGAGGCACCAAGAGGGCCCAAGATGCCCCGAAGAACCCAAACAGGCCACAGGACCCCCAGCACGCTCTAGGAGAGCCAAGGCGACACCAATAGGTTGCAGGACGGGCGTCATTCCCTCTCCTCCTCCTGCTCGTCGTCGTCATCCTTCTCCTCATCCGTCCTGCTTAAATCCTTCCTCCCCCTCTTTCTCCTCCTTCTCCTCCCCTTTCTCCTCCTCCTCCGCCTCCTCCTCTTCCTCCTCCTCCTCCTCCTCCTACCTCATCCGTAGCCTCGATGGTTCCGATAGCGCCGTGCGCGAGATCCGCCTCCTCCCCATCCGTCCTCCTCCCTCCTCCCTCCTCCTTCCCTCCTCCCTCGTCCCTCGTCCCCTCTTTCGGGAGCGTCAGATGCCCGGCACGGCCGCTCCTGCTCTGGGGGCGGAGATCACGCACTGTGTTTCCTCAGGTTCCAAGTTTCTCGGAACGCCAATGGTCAGCATGACCGGCTGGCGAGCCCGAGGAGCGCATGGTGTGGCAGCCGCGGCCGCCGAAGCCTCCGAGGCGTGCGACGAGGACCATATGCAAACGGTGGACACCTGGCTGAATGCAGGCCGCCCGCTGTCTCCTGAGATGCGCACGATGTTGCGCGCGGCGCTGCCCCGCAGCCGCCCTGCCCCGCCGTCAGAGTGCTGTGCCAAGTGTGGCCAGGGCATTGGCTGGTGTCCGGATGCGGGTGCATGTTGGGGCTGCACTGGCCTGCGCGCCGAGGCGAGCAAGGTCGGTGTGGAGTTGTTCCTGGCCGACGCACGGACACGCGACGCCCGGGTTGCTGAGATTGTGACGATGTCCGCTGCGCGGAGCGCAGTGGCCACAATCTGCAGTGGGGACACCGGCTGGTTCCAGGTGGAGCTGCCCCCCGCCGGTGCAGCTCCGTCGTGCTTGTTCTCTGTGTGCGCGGGGGGCGGTGAGTGGCCAATCCCGCGTTTCAAGATTGCGGGCCAGCGGTGGACGCTCACGCGCAGGGGTGGGCGCACGCTCGTGGTGGTCTTTGAGGGTCTTGAAGGGGGGGAGGTCACGGGAGTCATGGCAGAGGGTGACGCACTGGGTGACATGGGCATCCCGGACAGCGTGACACCTTTGGACGTCCCAGGGCTTGTGCGGCTCGCGAGGTTCGCCTGGGCTCTTGGCCTCACAGACAGCCAGGACCACGCGTGGCGGTGGATAGTGGTGGTGGGCCGTGACAGCTTGGGTGATGGGGGCGGCAAGCTGTGGCCGTGCGAGGAGAAGCTGCGCCTCCGCTGTTATCCCTTGCACGCCGCGGTTCGCGAGTTTGGGGCGGGTGTAGATGATCGGCTGGAGCGTGGGCGTGCAGTCTACGAGCAGACCCCGCTGGTGGTGTCTCTGGATGCCTGGCAGAGTGGCCGTCTTAACCACCACCTGCCTGTTCCCGGCTGGGGCCGCCCTGGCAGTGAGTTGCGAGGCCCGGAGGTGCCAGTAGCGAAGCGGATGCGGTGAAGCTGGGGCGGCTCGAAGGCTTTGATTACTTTCTGGTCATGCGCGGCATACCGTATGCGGGAGCCGAAGGCCTCGAGGGTGCCGCGCTCGCGGGCGCCACCCGTGCGCACAAATGGCGCTACAAGAGGGACTTGCAAGTCCTACTGGGACCTACGGCCCCGGGCGAGGACTGCAGTGACGTTGCACTATGGCCCGGCGACATGCGAACGGTGGCTGATGCTCCCAGTGGGCACGCCAGTCACCGCTGCCGGCGCGCACCGGGTGCCAGGTTCTCGGACGGGGTAGTGACGCTGCATGTTGGCTTCACAGGCGCGGCCGGGGGCGAGTGGCATGTGCGCGTTGCCTGGTGCCCGCACACTGAAGCGAGCACTGGAATGCCGCTTTGGCAGCCCCGGTTGGATTTGCCCCCCCCAACCACTCTGAGCATCGCTCACAGCGCCGGCAAGTATGCCTTCGCACGCGCGCGGCTCATCGAGGAGCTCAACTATGCTGGCGCGTACTACCAAGTCACAGACCGCACCACTAGCAGCATCGCTGTCGCTGTAGGCTCCCCGCAGCTCGTGACCCGCTTGCACGACTGCATGGCGCGCATTGTCTGGAGCGCGGCGCGGGCGAGGTGCATTCGTGTGTCGCCGAACGTCCCCGGTGCTGGCGTCCGCGACAGTTTGGAGGAGGCAGGCTCGCCGGCCCCGAGTGCGCACGTGGGTGGGGGGGCGTGCCCGGCGCGCGGGCCGCGACCACAGGTGCGAGAGGCCGTGCTCGAGAACAGAACGCAAATGTGGCACGCAAACGACCTGCTGCCGACAGGGGGCGAGAAGAGGGTCACCTGCGCGCCGGTGGGCGGCTGTGTGGAGCTGCGAGCCGCGAGGGCCGCGGCGCGCGTGCGTGTGCTGTCCGGCGCAGTGTCTGGATTCGTGCGCGAATTCAACCTGGGGCCAGGGGGGAAATGCCTGCGCCTCGCAGGGATTACCCCTGACGTCTTCCTCCAAGTCGCCCCCGCGGGTCGCGGCGGCACCGGGGCGGCGTTGGAGATTGAGCGGCGCAGTGTGCCACACAAGACCCCCGCAATAACAGCCGCGGGCAGCGGCTGTAGCGGGGAGATGAGCCACATGGCAGAGGCCTACGGGCCCGTGGATGCGGTTGGTCTGCGGATGGATGGCACCCAGGTGGGCGCCAGAACGCGCGCTGGCGAGTTTGCCCCCGCCAGCGACCCGCCTTGCTTGCCCCCGCGCGAGTGGGACAATGAAGTGGAGCCAGAAGAGGAGGGGGTTGGCTACGTTGGCGGTGGCGCGCCCGAGCCCGGTGGCTCGGTCAGCTCCACGTCGAAGGGGTTCTGCAACATCTTGAGTTATTCCGAGCCCACGGCGCCGAGCGCTGAGGCACTGCCGCGCGTCCAAGACAGCCTGGGCACGCGGCGTATCAAGTCGCCGCTCACGCGGGAAGAGTCGGAGGCCTTCTCGCCTGACGCGGAAGGACTGAGATACCGGAGGCAGACGTTAAGGAGCTGGAGGGTGTGAAGGCCGACTGCCAGGATCGCGACGCAGTGCGCGCGTGGGCCGCGGTGTCGCGGAGCACGCGCAATGGGGTCGTTGCAGAGCTGCGCCGGGCGCGGGACGCGTGGGAAGCTAGAGCCAAGGAGGAGGCCATGCAACACGTGCGGCAGTACTGCGCCTGGCCAGCTGCCTCGGCGCCCAGCCAGCAACGCGGGATGGCTGGCCTGCACTTCAGGGCGCCGGGCCGCAATGATTTGATCCTGGAGGGCCCTAAGGAGGATGGAGAGACGGGGCCGTTCGAGAGTCTCGAATAGCCCCTGGAGCCGCCGGGGGCGTGGGGCGCGCTCTTATGCGGCTACGCGCCAGCAGGTTGGGCACCGCGCGTGGCCGGCGAGCCAACAGAAGGCACCCCGAAAACCTGGGTGTTTGACAGCTCAAAGCACAACTTTTCAGCGCGATGAAGCATCGAGGCCGCGTCCGGGAAGATCTCGCGCGGGACAGGCGGCGTCGCGTGCGGAACGCGCCGGCACCTGGCGCGGCGCGAGCTCCGTGCGAAGGTGCTTGGGTTTGCGCGAATGCTTGCACTGCTCGGCTCAGATGTGACTCTTACAGCTATGCCTGCCGCAAGACGGTGCAGACACATACGTGGGCCACAGAGTGCTACCATCGCGTACCTCCTCGACGCAGGGTGGAAGCCCGATTCGCCCTCAGCGTGGACATTCCCGACGGCAGCTCAGAGTGGCAGTTCAACACCATCAGCATGACAGGACATCCAGTATTAGACATGTCCGAGGTGTAAGATTGCCCCAGAGACCAGTTCTCATCGTGTCTGGGGGTGCAGCTGCAGATCCCAGCACCCAGTGTATAAACTTAGTGAAGATCTAGTAGCAAAGGCGTACACTCAGGCTGAAGCCGAGGAATGTTTTTGGACTCGAGGTTTGATCCCCAGGGCCTGGATGCAAGTTTCTGCTCCCCCCGAGGCCGAGCAGCGGGCATCGTCCAACAACCTCGACTTTCAAGTCGTTGCCCAGAGTTCCCCAGGCAGGCCTGTTTTCGTTTTCGGTGACGCGAGCGGGGGGTAGGATGCTCATCAGCCCCTCCTCCGCCGCGTTGTCCTAGGAATAGCAGTGTTCCAGGATGTTTCCAGTATGGATCAAAACCTCGGTTTGTGGAGCCCCCTCCCTGGCAGCAGGCGAACTGTGGTGGGAGGTGAGCTCTACTGTTCCATGTTTTGTATCCGTCAGGCGTCAGGCACGGTCGTTTATGTCACGGACAACGATACCGTGAATGCAGGCTGGCACTTGAGACGCCGGTTGCACCCCACTGGGCCTGACGCAGACCTCTGGTGGCAGATAGATCAGATCTTGCAGCAGCGAGGGGAAGCGATATCCTGCACCGTGCTTTTCGTTCGTTCCCATCTGGAGGGTGAGCACATAGCCCAAGGAGTCGCCCCCCGTAATCTCGTGCTAGGTAATATTTATGCAGATAACTTTGCAGCGGCAGGAGCCGCTAAAGGTAGATTGCCAGAGGCAGAACGTGTACGCATACATTTAGTTGAACAGCAAGCTTTCGCAGTCCGCATGCGTATTCTTCAGAGCACCCTTGAGGCCATCCTTGCTGAGGAAAACCTCGAGGTCCCCGAGGGGGGCCAGCGTAGGCGTAGGCGTCAGCAACATGCTTCTTCTGTTGTAAGGCCGCCAGCGGCCAGTGTTTGTGCTATGTTCATGACCCAGCATTGCCTCAAGGAGAACTCCAAGAGCTGTTCCAGGTGTCAGGGTTTTGCGTCTCATGCTGGCAAAACCGAGTGGATGAGTTCACCCTGTTTTGCCTTAATTAATGTGGACGGTGTTGTCTGGCGACCTCCCTCTGGCGCGCGGGTGCACATATCGGGGGGCTACGCTCGCACATCGCACATGCTCAGATTCCATTCGGGGTTGGGCATCTGGTTTTGTACTGCATGCGGCTGTTTCGCTTCCGAACAGTTGAGACAGCTCGGAGCAGTGTGTAGTGATGTCGTTAATGGTAATCGTAGAGTGTGTCTTGACCGAATCACCCGCGGTCTCTGGCCTAAAGTTCGTAGCGAAGCCGAGCTGGCCAGAAAGAAGCAGCAGGGGTAAGCTGCTACGAAGTAGCCGACACTGTCGCCATACCCAGAACTCTCGGGAGCGTCACAAAGAGGCCCTCCGATGATAATTTCACGACAACAAGGGCGCCGACACGATGAACAGACACCGCGTCGGGGCTCTGGGAACGGAGTCGAAGACGAAACCTCGAATAACTTAGTCTTCGATGTTCGGGGCATTTTTTCTGACCACCTGCGAGCTTCGTGGAAACTTCCGAGAGCCTCAGGGGTGGGCGTCTGGCGCAAGAACACGAGTGGAGAAGGAGACAACACGACGCTCCACGGAGTAAGCTGCACCCAGTTGGTTTCTACCCCCGTGAGGGGTGCTACAGGGTAGTAGTCGTAGTAGTAGTAGTAGTAGTAGTAGTAGTAGTAGTAGTAGTAGTCGTAGTAGTAGTAGTAGTAGTAGTAGTCGTCGTAGTAGGAGTAGTAGAAGTAGTAGTAGTTCTGGTAGTAGTAGTAGTAGTAGTAGTAGTACTAGTAGTAGTAGTAGTAGTAGTAGTAGTAGTAGTAGTGGCAGTCGTCGTAGTAGTAGTAGTAGTAGTAGTAGTAGTAGTAGTCGTAGTAGCAGTCGTAGTAGTAGTGGTGGTGGTAGTAGTAGTAGTAGTAGTAGTAGTAGTAGTAGTGGCAGTCGTAGTAGTAGTAGTAGTAGTAGTAGT